GATGCAGTTATTGAATTTGCCATGAGCAATCAGAATAACCTCCGTCGCCAAATTGTTACACTTAACCGAAATCAGAACAACAGTATTGCAAATGGAAGTTTAGTAAAAGCAATGGCAATAGTACATCGGCAGTCCACACTGGGCATAGATCAACTGTTTAGTTTTACGCAGTTCACATGTTTTAGTTAAGCACTCGCTTTTGAACCAAGCAATAAGCATCGTTGGTTAGTCGGGAGATGGACACTCACGCACTAGAGGCATAATGCAGCTCCACAGGCTAGGTAGTGTAGCATGACCTTGACGCGCGCCACGTCTGTAACAGCCTTCCTGAATCTGCGACATCTGTGGCGACAGAAAGGATTTTCCTTCCGTCTAAAAGGCTGTGTTTACAAGGCCACACCGAGCGTCACCCCAAGCTATGGTAAAGAGACTTGGCCAATTCGATTTGAGAATCTGAAGCGCTTTTAAGTCTTTGTTAGTCGCCATCTGCGGGCCATTGTGAGCGTCGCGTCGCACCAGCGTGTAAGCAACGATGATGTGCGTAACTAACTAACTAATTCCTCAGAACAACAGATAGCACTGAATAAGTTGCGCTGGCTTGGGCACGTACTACGTATGCTCGATCACCGCTTGTCGAGAAGGGCTTTGTTTCCTCTGTCAGATGTAGGGTGGCACAAGGCCTGACTTGGCAGCGACAACTAAAATCAGTAACGCCCAAACTCGGTGCTGTCGATCCATCTCGCCTTCTAGACTGGAGTCCACGTGACTCGCTGTGTGCTGAGCTCGAGAAGTTACAGGACGGTTCGCAGTCGGCACTAGTGGCGTATTTACAGCCATCTCCTGATCGCACTGCCTGTTTAAAGCTCGTTTGATACTGTTATGCGCGGAGTAATGGATGATTATGACGCGGAGCAGTAAAAGCCGCAAAAACGTTGTTTCGCTGAAGCAACCTAATCTTTGTATGAGAGCCAGCTGTTTGTGATGGTACTTTGTTGACAAGCTGTAGGCACCTAGACCATGAATGTTTGCTTAGAGTATCAAGCTTCTCCGGCATATTGAATACTGAGAATAGAGAGAAGATAAAAATCTGTGTTGCTCCATCGTAGGTAGATCGGGCAAATGCGCGGAATCACGTCGCAGATTCCTGCGCAGTGGCACCATATTGCAGCTGCATTACATCTTATCCGGGTGCGATACGCTCCCTATACCTGTAGTCCGCTAAGTGGGCGTCAAGGAATCGCTTAAATTCCAACACCGATTTCGCCTCGACTAGCGTCTCCGGCAATGTGCTTCAATATTTCTCCACTCGACGCATATAGGGTGAGCGATGTGCTTTAACTCCGGTACCACTAGTTTGTACCGGTGTCTGCGTGTGCTGCTTGGTGCGCGAACATGCAGCAGCGGTTTCAACATAGGGAAGTGGACCAGGAGCAGCGTACGGTGCGTCATAATAAGATCAACTCGAAGCTGGCAATATGACAGGGTATAAAGCCCTGATCTCCTACATTGGTACTCGTACGACGTACTCCGTAAACTGGGGATTAGCCAGGTAACTACATGCCGGACCCGTTCCAGTCTCTGCACCTCACCTATTGTGATCGGGCAACAGGCGGGTGAGCCGTACTCAAGTATCGGTCTTATTATGGAAGAGAACAGACGGGTGTCAATCTCTTCAGACCAAGTGCAGAAGCTGCGCGTAAGTGCCCAAAACAGGCGTAGTCCGTTTTCGTACAGTCAGTTCGTGTTGTCGACAGAATTCAGATCACAGCGTGAGAGTATGCCTAGAACCTTTACGGAACTGGTAGGGTGCAGCGGGTGGCCGGCCAGGGTGTACGCAAGCCTATTACTACCCCTCCCCAGGATCGTAAACGTGGAGTTGGCTGTGTCGACCGGTAGATCAACTTCTGCAGACCACCGGGATAGGCGGTCGTAGTCTTGCTGAAGGATGTCAAGGTCGCCGGGAGAATCAATCTTCAAGTCATCCGCAATAAGCTGAGGTACTTCGTTGATGTGGACCATGAATAAAATGGGCCCGGTAAAGTGCCTTGGGGTACGCCGCTAGTGGACGGGTACCATTCCGTTAGGTGGTCATCCACCGGAACTCGCTATCTTCTCGCAATAAGGTAGTCACTGATCCACTGGTGCAGTGCGCCACGAACACCACATCCTCAGCATGTGGAGGAGGACCTCATAGTTCACTTTATCGAAAGCTTTACTGAAACCAATGTAGATAACATCCACGGACTTCCTCCGATTCAATGCTTGCAATCATTCCTGTCACGTCAACAGCGGGTTGGTGAGGCACGAACGACCATTCATGAAGCCGTGCTGTGCCGACGTTAGATCTTTCGACTCCAGCAGCTGGAGAAGACCCTTTTTCACAATCTTCTCGAGCACCTTCGCTAAAACAGAGATGAGACAAAGCGGCCGGTAATTGACCACATTGCGCGGATCACCACCATTTGGAATAGGTTTCACTACCGAGCATTTCCAGTCACTCGGCAATGCACCCTCGCACAGCGATAGGTTGAACAGATCCGTCACGGCAGGCGAGATGATGACAGAAAAGCAGTTAAAAATTAGCGGGCGAAGTCCATCGGGTCCGGCAGGTTTTGTGCCATCAAGACTGGCGAGTAGACTGCGGACATCTTCTACACCGCAATTAAGGCCCTAGAGTCCAGTGGGGGTTGTACACGTCGAGCTCGTTATGGGCGCAAACCCACTTGCATATACGGAAGCGAAGTGCTCCGCCAATGCGGACGCACGTTCAGTGCTGGAGGTCGGAGGATGTCCGTCAGTGCCCTCTAACACACTTATGTCACTTGCGGGGCTTCAGGCGCCGCTTTACGTAGCTAAAAATATTCTTGGGGCCCTTTTCGATGAGGTTGCAAACCCCACTTCGAACAGCGGACACTTTCGCGCCGTTGAATAGTTTCCACTGCCTTTTGTACGCTTAGTAATCGTCCGCAGAGCCAGAGACGAGAAATTTTTTCCATAATTCGCGTCGCCATCGAGCCAATTGACTATACTCTCTGTAGAACCAATGTGGCTTCCCTGATCCAGGTTTCCAATATTTGAGGGGTACCCCTTCTCTACCGTTCCGTAGGTCTTTGTGGTTGTATGGCGGCGAAGCATCAGTTCAAATGGCGGATGTATTGCTGTTACTAATGATGATGAATGATGAGATTCAATTGGCCTATCAATGAAGAAGAAGAAGAAGAAGAAGAAGAAAAAGGCATCAGCAGTACACCGGTACTGAGAATCGGCGCTTCGCTGCCGCGTGAACACCACCGATCGCACAGGGGCTAAGGATACTGCGGGGGTCCGCCGATCCCAAAGCAGGCTCGAACTCGCGCGCTTAGACTACAAAACACGCTTTGGATAGCTAAGGTTACGGACCGGCCTATCGATCCACCTTATCAGATGGGTTCGCTAGTGCTTCACCTACAGATGTCAAACACCACTAGAGTTTCTTGCAGCAGATGTCGCTTTCTTTCGGCCAATCATTCGGTGGAATCACTAGGTGTCCTTTGAGAGTATGGATCTCTGCTTGCTATTTGGAATTGTTTGACCGTCGCCGAGCGATTCCAGCTGATTAAAGTAGCGTTGAAGTCCGCCGGAAACCTCGGACAATAACTCAAGTACAGAATGCGGAACAATCGCGAAACTTAGTGGTTTCAGCGCGGTTTAGAGATGGAAAGTGCAACGCTCTCTCGAAATTTTCGTAAGCCTTTCCAGATCATACTGACCACTGACCACAGAATACCAGGTGTCAGTAAAACTATTTACGAGGTAGATGAATCATCAATTACTAATTTGCGCAGACACATGAATCGTTGGCCTGATCACTTCCACTCATAATTCAGTTGGCATTAGTCTTGCGCCTGTCCAACAAGTATGCCTAAATGCGCGCCATGGAACGTTTCGTTGGAACTACCCACCGAGGTGTATCATGATCTTCGTCACTTGAAGCTATTCAAGGCTAATGGCTCAGACAGACTTCCTCCAGAACTGTTCAAGCAAAGCAGCCAGGCAATGGTCCACCAATTGGCAGTTCTGTTATCCAACATTCGATGTGAAGAAAACGTTCCATCTTCTTGTAGGGAGCCGATTATCGTACAGAACCGATCTTTAGAAAGGGTGCCACTATTTTATGCGCCAAACACAGAGGAATCAGCCAAATATCCGTCGATT